AATTACATAAAAATCTTTAAGAAAAACGTACGTATAGAAAAGACGCCAAGCCACAGCCCTGTAGTCTTGTGAAGGAAAAAAATTGACATCGGGTTATTTCCCAGGATATCAATTGCGGTTTTATTTTTTACATGCTGAAATTACAGAAATCCTTTCTTTGTTCGTGTCCATTAATGTCACGAAAGTTCTCATGCGAAACTCAAATTAACCGACAAAAGTCATAAAATTTTAAATGCAGCATGGTGACGACACATTGAAAAAAAATCGATAAAAGTCAGGTCAGAAAAATCCCTCGGGGCTGAGGGCTATAAAATGTCTAATTAATTGTATTCTTACGAATATAATATAAAAAATGCGCAGAACAGGAGATGAGAACCTCTTCCTATAGCATAAGTTGGGAAGATTTTTTTAGCGGAGTATCCCTGGGAAACGACGGGTTAAATCTTATCTTCCGATGAACGATAAATAAAGACTTCTTAATGTTCTGGTCAGATTTGGGCTTGAGTTGACGCACAAATAATATGCAGTTTTCTGGATCGAGTGATAAAACACAGCCTTTCCATTGAGCTCGACGGATTGTTTTTTAAATAACGCTTTCCAACTGGAAATCCTTTTTCAGTATTTTTGAGGATACCCCTTTGCATTTATTGAACACTTTTATTGAGATAATCTGAAACTTTCATAATCCATCCTTCAAATATTCTCACGTGTAATATTACACTGTACGTAGTTATTTTTTTATTGGTACTTTTGTCCATAAATTTCTGTACGTCCTGCATTATTTAATTTCCTAAGAAATTAATTATTATCACAGTTCACCAGATATTCTCTAAGCAAATTGGTTTTCAGAGCTCAACAGAAACCCTGCTGAGAAATGAAATGGTATAGAATAGCATTTTTGGGATCAGGATGAGTATCCAACCAGATCCAACGAATTAAAATTGTAAGAAATTGGACAGAAATTTTAAAGATATATCAATGTAATTAAACACATGCAGGGGCTTTCAGAGCAAACCAAACATTTAAATGTCATCTCTGCTTCAAAACGAACATAGGAGGAGTTTCCCAGTTAGCTCAATTCATCACAGCGTTCATTTGAAAGCATATTACATGGACATACAAGAAGCCTCTTACGTGGGTCATATAATGACACTTACTGTCCGAACGGGTTACCCACTGCAATTGAAAATAAAACAGGATTCATTAATGTGTGCAAGCCTGAACGACAGTTGCACTTGGCTGCAAACCTGTTTCATTTTTGGCACACGTTTACTGCTCATATGCGTCTACTTCCGCAAACGATTTGCATGGTACGCAGGAAAATTTCTTCAGTGCAATTACATGCGTGCAGATGATGGGGAAGATGCACCACACGGTGCGCAGGCCGTGATTTGCAAAGCACCTGGTGCCATCTTGAGGCAGGGACGAGAAGGTTGAAAGTATTCATGGAAGAACAAAGCTGCGCTGCATAATATTAGGCTTATTTTCTTCAAATAAATCCCATAACAGCAAACACAATGAATCAAAACATGGCTTCATGGGGGGGTATTATGTTTATTTTTTAGGATGTAGCAAACCACGGAATACTAACCTTGACGCTGGAGTTAGTTTTTTTAAAGCAATTTTTTGTCCTAGCAGCTCTTGAGTGTTCAAGTGTGGCTCTACAAACCGAAGACGTCTAATTATTCACGCTTCAATCGTCAATGGAATATTTAATGGATTCTTTGTATCATAACAATTTCTATTGATATACGTGCATTATTTGTTTTTTTCTTGACAGAAGCTAAAATATGGACAATATTCTTGAGCTTCAATCTTCTTCCACCATTTCAAATTGTACACAAAACATTGAAGATCACAGAAAAAGCCAAATAAATTTTCTAAGCATAAGTGGAAATGAGGATCAACCTTTTGTCATAAGTCAAAAAAATTTGTTGAAAGGATAAATTTTGAAATTTGCGGGATAGTACTTAAAAGTGTCTATATTAGTTGGCAATTTTCCTCTAAAAACCATGTGACAAGCATGAAACCGCGGTCTTCTCTTCTGAAGAAATCGAATGCAGCGAAGCATTGCATCATAAAATACCCGTACTACAACAAAATTTGCATCGTTAAAATTGTATGGGAAAATTGCATAACAAAAGGGCTCAAAATAATGTGGAGTAATTATACATTACATAGACTTAATCCTGCAAAAAAAGAAACAATTCCGATTAAGAAAAAATTATTTTCATCAAAATAACAAAATACTTCCTCTTCAGGATACAATGTTTTACATTGTCCTCTAATCAAGAAAATGTGCGCTTTTTACTGGAACGTACAATTAGAAACTTTTGCCTGTGGCGGAATGAAGAAATATTTTTAGCATTTGAGAGAAGTAAATTTCAATCTACAGAAACGTGTGCATCTCAAATAGCAATGAACTTGGAATGAAAACATATCTTTAAAAGAGGTAGATTGATATCTGAATTTTTCAAATTTTAAAAGTTTCCCGCTCCTCTTTTTTCAAATAAAACGTGTTTTCACGATGAGGCTTCATGGCACGATAATTTTGAATAGGCAAAGAAATTTACTATAAAATTTCTTCAAGAAAAACCGTTGACATACTCCACTTCAGATGCCTTCGTTGAAAGAAAAATGAATAAAAATTGTGCCAACATTGAGTGGTGAGGCTGAAACCAACACATGGCGAGTAAAATTTCGAGGCCTTGAATCTGCATCTAGGTTAAGAATATCACGGCAATTTTTGACGCTAATTTTGAATTCACCAGAATCCAAATTTTATTCTGCAATATTCACCGTAATTGCATCCAATTTTTCCTCGTTACAACACAGCAAGTAAATTCGTTCAACGCAGCTTAAAATTGAAGTCATTTGAATATTGCCTTNGATTAGGTGCCAATTATTTTTCCATTGTAAATATTCGTACATTAGTGATAGAAGACATATTCTTCTTCAATTCAAGCTCCTATACAGAAGCTCAAATATCTTTTCTTCTGCCCACATTTTCCAGGAATTTCTCAAAATTAGTCATGTGCTCATTTTGCTTTATTTCTGGATCCCGTCTTCTCAAGGACGTACAGTGGATGCTAACTTGCATGTAATTTTAAAAAGGATATACCGTAACACACACCCTCAACTATGTGAAGCTCTGTGATGAACATACAATTGCCCGAATTCAATTTTATTGGAGGGTCTGTGCACCTGAAAAAGTCTGACTGATTCAAAATTTCACCCGTCTGGGAAAACTTTGTTTTTCAGTACATTTTCGCAGTTTTTCAAGATACGTTTTCCAAGTTCACTGAGGTATCAAGTTGGAAACAAGCTGGAATTTTTGCTGGATTGTGTTTACGCACTTATAATTGGTTCTCTTGGTAATAAAGAATTATGAATAAAGCCCCCAAAATATGTAATGGCTATTTTTTAACTTCAGTACACAGGAAATAACTGTGCAGAAGAAAACCACACAGAATCTTAACCATAAAGCTTCTGCAGCAGAGCTGGGAAATACAGTATTCGCAAAATTTGGTTCCATGCAACATTTGAAATAAAAGAAATCTTGGTCAGGTCAGGAGAGTCAAAGTCTGGAAAAATATCAAGTTCGTTATCTTTCCACCAAAACCTTTTACTGAAGAAGAAAAAATTCCCTGCTGGGTGGCATTTTNGAACATTTGAAATAAAAGAAATCTTGGTCAGGTCAGGAGAGTCAAAGTCTGGAAAAATATCAAGTTCGTTATCTTTCCACCAAAACCTTTTACTGAAGAAGAAAAAATTCCCTGCTGGGTGGCATTTTTTCAAGTATGCAGTATTTCAGCTGTATGATTAGTATTGCAGGGGTTCAAATGACATTAGATTCAACTTTCCCAAAATTTTCCAAACTTTGGCTATACAGCCAAGGCTGCCTTTTGGTGAGCTTTGGTCAAACCAAAATGCGCAAGTCTGCAAAAATATCCCAACTCCACCATGCAATGGAAATCAACTTACCATCTTTGCAAAGGTTGAGCACCACAAGAAGCTTTAGGAAGCAAAGAACAAGAACAAATCTATCTATAATGTGCACACATGAGAAAAATAATTGTAAAATGAGCCTGTTTCTCATTTATGAATTAAACTAATTTTATGATAAAATGATTATAATATTCTCCTGAATTTGAATAGCTCAATTTTTTCAAGAGGAATAAAACTTGAAAAATAATTAAATCTCTTTGATTTTTATAGAAAATGTTGGCAGTGTGCGTATGTCAAGCCATTGTCCAGATGTCGGGGTAGATGATTTTTTGCATTGTTTCAAGTAGTCCCAAATTGAATTGTATGTATTTCGGGGTTCCACTGTAGTTTAAATTCCCAACTATTTCACTTTTCTGAATCTGATCCAAAATGAATGGCTTTTCATCACGAAAGAAAAATGAATAATATAATCATTGTGACTGCATCATGTCTCCAGCTGTTCATTTTGAAGCCATAAGCATCTGCGAATCATTGCAGAAAATTTTAAAAAAAAAGAGAAAAACACCTCTGTTTTGAGAGCCTCCCAGGAAGAATGCTTGGAAGGGCGACGGCTGTTGGCCTTGGCTTGAAAAGTGAAAAAAAACCTCTCCGCTCCAGATTTAATAGTAATAATAATAACAACCGAAAGTTACGCTTACGACTGCTGCCCCGCGGCGGAACACAGCAATATTTTTTCATCGTGGAATGTACGAGAAAAAGGCCTCGCCCAAAACAGAAAATATTGTACATTCAACGTGCGTGAGCCGCAAATCGGCCCAGAAAAACAAAAGATTTCGCCGCCCGGGTCGCCGGGCTGCTTGATGGACCTCTTTATTATTATTTTCTCCTTTTTGCGAGCATTTTTCCTTTTTTTAATTTTTCTATGTTGAAGAGAGTGTTCAGAACCTCTATACACAGCACCGCGAGCGCGGGTTTTTTGCTGCTGCTGCTGCTGCTGGGGTCAACCCGGGCTATAAAAACTGCGCGGGTCGCCCCAAGTCAGGTCATTCCGCGCACTGCAGTCGGTAGAACGAGTCAAGTCAAAGAGTCGTGTGTCCAGTGTTCCGAGAAGCAGACGAGAAAAAAAAACGCTTTTCGAAAAAATATTAATCATGCGTTACACATTGGCCGTGAGTTGAACAGATATTTTTCCGTCGTTCTGCTCTTTTCTCACCCGCATAAAAAAAATCAATGGAGGTATTCGTATAATGGGAAATTATTTAAAATTTGATTCAAGGTCGTGAAGCATAATAGAAAGATATATTTTGTCATTCCTCGGGATTCGATTTCCTGGACCATAGTTGTATCAAGCTTATTATTGGTAATGATTTTAGGGTAATACTCGTAACTCATCCTTATGAATTACTTTTGAAGCGAGGACATAATTCCAAAAGAATTGCGAATGCTCCGGGCAATTCACAAAATCTTTCAGAATAAATGCTGTTTCGAATTATAAAAGATAAAACAAATTCATGCAGAAAACGCCCCAAGTTCATGGGAGCATAATTCTTGGTTGTAAATTTGCTCTTCATCAACAAAAGCGCTAATTTTTGAATTTCAAACGGGGAAAAAACGTGTACACTGTAATTTATTTTGTCCCCGGTTTTTTTTTATGATCTACTTCATTATTTTATCTTTTACAAAGCCTATTCGACTCCGCATAATGGATAAGCATAGTCGATTGAATATCTTGAAGCTATAATTACGAGATCCTCATCGTCGAAGGAAATACAAAAATTAAATTCCGGTATGAAACACCCTTTGCGAAAATCCTCCAATATATTTGGTTTTTTCTTCGTTTTCTCTCCCTCGCTCAAACATATATGTCCCCGATTCACACATGTCTATTGAAATGAGCATTAATAACGGTCATTTTTCGCATTCCGAACTTTGACGACATATTCAGGTGTTGGTGGCAGTGGCGGCAGTGGTCGCCGGAGACAAGTACGGCAAGCCGCCGTCGTACCCAAAGCCGAGCTACGGCAAGGCGTACCCTCACGAGCCAGTGTACGCCCCGGAGCCCGCATACGCCCCGGCGCCGTCGTCCTATGCCCCTGCTTACAAACCGGCGCCGTCGTCATACGCCCCCGCCTACAAACCGGCGCCGTCGTCCTACCCTCGTCCTTCTTATGGCAAGCACGCTGCCCCCTACGGTGCTGAGGAGTACAGCGACGTGAGTTTCACAGGCCCGACGCAAACTGACTTTCTTTTTTTTTGCGCAAATCAAAAGTTATCTAGCTGGAACTGTATAAGGAAATGAGAACATGAAAGTGAATTAATTGGAGCAGTTGTGGGATGTTCCAAGAATCAACCCGGCATCATTTTATTTGTTTCTTGAGAAGAGTTGATTTATATACGTATTATGAGCAATTTTCTTTTTTACGGGTAAAAGTTTTCAAATGCCTCATGAAAAATTGACGACATCGAGATGACAACATCTTAAAATTCCTCAAAAAGTTTGTGGACTTCGTCGACTTCGAGACTCGGCGGAATAAAATATACATATTTCGTTGCACTGAATATGCTCTCAAAAAACACATCCTCTTGCATTAAATTTGCAAAAATCAGGCATTTTCGTCGGAAAGAATTCAAAACTGAGGACATGAACCTGATCGTGACGATTCACACATATGATTTTCCTTTTCATGAGAATCGATCGAGATCGAAAACTTATTTCGACGGAATATAAAGGTAAATAACTGGTTGCAGGACAAACCTTCATTTGAAAAATTGCATTTTTTTTTTAAGTAAGCAGATCATCTTGGTCTGAACGAAATGATAACCCAAATAGGAGAAAAATGTTCTGATTCTGACACATGATTTTAAGTGCTGGAAAGTCATTTCCTATGAGGAATTTAACGTTCAATAAAAAAAATTTCTGTGAACGTTTTTTTCGAAACATCGCAGGAACGTTATTAGATCTGCATTAGTCGGTGTGTACTATGAAGAGGTTAAGCTCGCCTGAGGCACTTTTCACCGTATAAAGCCGAATTGACCGTAGGAGAAAAATATCTTAAAATATATTCCATACACGCATTATAGATTCACAAGCGATTTACTGTTTAATTCGTCGGAAATGGCTTTTTTCATATTGTTCGACAATTTTTTTTATCAAGAACACTTTTAGCAAAAACTTTTGAACGCTGTTATCTTAGAAGCTGTTTGATTGGGAAGGCTTGAAAAAATTCTTAACTGCTTTCCTTAAAACCGCCTGCAGCAAGTTGCATTTTGATCATTTCTTAGAAACGTGTGCGTTGTTAATCACTAAATTTTTAATTTCGCGGAGGGTTGAATTTCGATCAGCCTGTGTGGGATTTGAAAAAGGACACTATTTTAAAGATCTCAATTTTTTCTTATTTGCAAATAAGCTGGAACCATGTTTTCGTTCTTTTTCTAATTGATTAACACAGCATACAAGTTTCATTTCTCACTTGTCAGCACTCACAATAAGGTTCAGGAAATTTTCTCACATGCCCCCAAGCAAACATCGATTCAAAACATTCCGGCCTATCACAAATAATTTACTATATGTACAGGTATGAAGAGAAACCCACATACCAATGGGTATTTCCCTTTCTTCCTCTGCGAATCTCTCCTGGAGTAGAAAAATAAATATACAGTTGAACTTTGATAACTCAAACCTATACCAAAATTGAATCCCTCTTTAATTCGATTTTTTTCAAATCCCCTTCTGAATTACCTCAGAAACACTGCATGAAAAACCTCTCAGACTTGAAGGCTTTTCCTCTCACATCTCCATGACTCAAATTTTCTGAAGCCTTTTGTCAATTATTTCTTGACACAGGAAACATGAGAAAAGCAAAGTAACTGAAAGTGTTTTGAAAGGAATTGAAAGACGAATTGAGCAAATGAACCCCTGCCTATACAAGTTCAGCATGTATTATTCTGTACACTCATTTTAAAAAGCAATCTTAGGCCCAGAAAATGAACTTTTTGTATCTTTCCCACAAGCAAAAATGCTTCTTTCCCAAACTTGAAAACTCCTCTGCTCAAATTTTTTATTTTCGGGTCCCTTGAAATTTGACTTGAAGAGAGGTTCAACTGGACAGTATATTTGTACTGTATATGTAGCTACCAGTAAAACTTTGCTACAGCAAAGCCACAGAGATGAGTAAAAAATGTCTGCGATTACACACGCAAAATCTATTGTATTCCAATAACTCATCATTATTCAAGATTGTTTTTCCATGGGACAGAGGCCTGAAAAAAAAATTTTTTTCAATCACTTATTCGTTGTAACGAGATTTTACTGCATATACGTGTACTACTGTAGCTGTATATACATAATTGGCTCGTTTCTTCGTCCCATTCCCATTTTTGCAGCAGCACCCGCAGTACAACTACGCCTACGACGTGAAGGACGANTAAAAACGTGCGGGTAGAGTATTTTTTTATGAATGAGATGATGATATTGTATTCCAAAATCTTTGTAAATAACGTAAGTACTGTACAATATATCCTTGATAATCGCAAACATATGCTAAACCCAATCGACACACGTTATATACTTAACTACAATTCATCATCAGTTTCCAGGAGCATAAAAAGTACATCTTTCGAAAAAAAAATTCAAATTCGATTTTTCAAGCGTTTAAAAGACGAGATTTTGTGAGAGCAACGTTATTGTAATCAGTGAGGAAAGTTTCGAACGGTGAGGTACCAGAGGGTTTTTTTTTTTTCGTAGGCAAACATCATTGTGGGGTTGAAATGGGGGGGGGGGGGGAAGCGACAGGAAACTGCTCAGTAGATGGCAAACAAGGTGATAGTGGTGGTGGTGGGGTTTTGGAATAAAAGGTCAGAGCTCATACCGAGACGCAGTCTAAGGTCATGCAGTCGGTGGAGCAGTTGCGAAAGCCAACAAGTCAAGATCATGTCCAAGTGGCGATCGGAAACGAAATAACCGACCCCGGGGTCAATTACGTCGTGTCGTGTGAGGGAGGGGGAAAAGAAATCGGATTGACTCCAGTGTGGGCATTATTCACGTCGACGAGCCGAGCATGCAATGATGATTAGTTTGCGATTGCGTGCCGCCACTTTTCTTCTCCGTGTCTCATCGCCGCCATTTACGTCGCACCGGTGACAAGGGATTTGAAGTCGCCCGCGATCGTAATACGCGTCACTCATCGTACCGTATTGCTGCAGCGAGTCATCGCCTCGGGGCTCGTTTTATTTTATTTTAGTTATTCATAGATGCTTGTTGGATATGTCCAGACATTTTGGCGCATGATTATACGGCGTGGATCCGAATTGCGAAAATGTTTTAGCCATCAGGTTTGCACCATGATCAATTACTGATCTTCAAATATATATTTATGGAGTACTCGAATGCAGTCAAAACACTCTATAGTTCGCAATTTCGAGGGACCATACAAGAACAAAAAATTAATTTGAGATGCTTGAGAGCTATTTTTTGTTGGGGGAAACATATAGAAGATTTGCAGGAAATTGAATGTGGTGAATATTCTGGGCCTTGAATTACTGAACTTCTTGAATGAGTTGACAGGATGCTGAACTATTGGAGGCAAGGTATCATTTGCCCAATTAGACTTTAGCTTCTGTTGAGGAATAAATCAACTCAACATAAAGACTTGAACCATAGCGCTGTGGAAGAAAAGGTGGGAAATAATAAGGCAGGGCAATCAGCCGGTTTGCGGCCAGGAATATGTAATTAATGGAGTACCTTAATTACATATCCCTAGTTTTGTCTGGCTTAATCACAGTCCACAATCAAACACAATAAAAATATAATGCATCACAATAAATAAATGCAGTAATTCAAAACACATTCAATAAAAACAATGAATGTGTGCACACAATTTTAGTGTGCAATAATGCAACGCAACGATTCAATCAGAAGAATTGGGGTTGGAATGTTTGGAGGAATTTTACTGTAAGAGCTAATTTTAAGGACTGATTATTGGGAGTGGAAGAGAGCTGGGTTTTTATAAGATTTAGCACGATGCTTCTGTCAGCTGACCTGACCAAAGTACTGGACTGTTTCCCTTGCTTGTGATTGGCAGAGAAGATGTGCATTGAAGAATTTGTGCATCCAGGGAATGGATGCATGGAGAATGGGACCAGAATCCAGATCCTATGGGACCTGATGTCCCAAGTTCTGGTTCCCTAACAGCTTCCTTTTAAAACACAACAAATTACAGTACTTTTTATTGTTTCTCTCTTTCCTGTGTCTGAAAAATAACAGCGAAAAGCTCTCAGAAAGTTCCAGGTACCCAGGTTTAAGAGGAAATATATTTGAGTTAGAAAGGGTTTTAATGCATTATTTCCAAGTGCTTTGAAAAAATAGACTTGGGAAGTATTTGTGGGGAATTTTTTGCTGTCCAGCAGGGGACATGGTGCCCAACTTCTGGGAGAACCCTCACTGTGCCTCTTTCCTTTTTCCTCTTTTGTTGTTAGGATCAGCACCTCAGCAGCTGTAGGCAGCTGTGTGCAGACTCTTGTGCAAATTCTTCAAGACACCAGATGTCTGCAGCTGGCAAAACCTGGTTCCTAACAACATTTCAATATACCTTGCAAAATTAAATTGCAAAAAGACCCAGAAAATGGGAGGAAAACAAGATCATTTTCTTGAGTTCAAAATATTTCTTGAAACTTAACATCATTTCCCCACACCTGGGGTTTTCAAATCCAGCGTGCATTCAAAATACCCATTTAAAGCATGAACGGAATCCAACTGAAGAACTATTGCATGACCCAGTACCTATTCCATCAGAATATAATTCAACAGCAATCTTTCGCCGTCATCACGATCGTCATGATTACGTCAATGGCACAAAGTACTCTGATGAAAAATGGGGCCAATTTGTCAAAACAAACGTTTTATAGCTACCAAGGTTAGAGAGGCATTTCTCAGTGCTGATTTACCTTTGTAAATACAATTTTTTTTTATGATGGACGGTCGCTGAACTTGCGAATTTGTCATATTTATGCTTCAACTCAGCCAATTCCTCCCTTCATGTGCCGTGATGAAGTGTATCTCAAATAAGTTCTTATTTTCTGTTTCGGTGAATAATGCGTTGTATATCGCTGGAATACATTCCGAATTTTCATGGCCCGGAAGTTTTCTTCAGGTACGTCGAGAAAACCTTTCTAAGTGAGAAAATGTGACCTTCAAATTTTATGACGTGCTCATCACACCAACGTAATGCCAAGAGCAAAGAATAGGTCGAGGTTGAAGATCGACAAACGTAAAAACAGAGACAGAAATGTTCGGTCAGAAAAAGTTTAAATGCAAAAAATATACGTTATTTTTCAAACCCCTTCTTTTCTTTGCAAAACGTAAATTCTTTTTGACTCAATTCTTGTAACCAGGTAAATTCTTTTTATCCTCACAGTAGCTTCATTCGTTCGTGCCATACAGTGAAAAAAAAACATCATGTCAGTCCAATCTATTTTCTCCTCAAGCTCCAAAACTCTCAGGCAATATTCCAAAACCCACTCGTATTATTTCAAACACCTACGGAGTCACCCAGAGCAGCGAAATAAGCAGGAGGGTGCGGTTCTGCCAAATGAAGTACTGTAACGCGATATGCAACGTCCGACATCAGCCCGTGCAATAATAATCTTGCTTTTTTTTCTTCCCTAGGCAAAACTGCATTTCAAGTTGATGAAACCCGATGACGAAATTGCCAACCTGCTGATGGGGTTTATTTTCCAGCGAGTAACAAGAATATGTAGGGCTTTTCAACAGCTGGTGGTGCATGTTGCACTCACTGAAGAAGTTGCCAGGGCTTATATCATTGTTCGCAAAGGAAAACATAAATGAATAAGTTTAATTTTCTGTCCACCACATTTGTTCATGACAGAAACCCAAAAAGTTCCTGGAAAAAAAGAGTTAGCCAGCAGGTGCATCTCTCGGTTTTACCCGCGTGTTATAGGAGTCTAATCTCAAAATATTGACCCATTAGAGACAAATCTTGTTCAGATCCCAAAAAAAGGGTGCCTATGAAACTTCATAGGCATTCTGTAGCACCGCCTCCTTACAGATAATTTTGAAAACATTTCGTTTTAAGCATATGACTAATATGGAGGAGAAGTTATTAAGAGAAAGCCTTGACATGTGATACGCCCTTCTTACCTTCTTATGTTTGCCTTTGGTACTACGCATTATTTATAGATATCCGAATGTGTCGACACAATCATCCCTAAAGATTTGATAGCATAATTAGCTCAATATAATTTCAAAAAGAAGGCTACACAAAGATTGCGAGAACGTGAAG